TGGGACACATTTGTAACAGTTTTAAGTTTTATTCTGTTCATAAAACGTGGAAGTCATATGTCGTAGTAGTAGTTGCTAAAGCGAATGTCGGACGAATTGGCTTCTCTTAGAAAAAAACTACCCACATGTGTATAACTTTAACAAAGGAATGAATCAAATTTCATCAAAAGAGGCTTGACGAGTATGTTATCTCACTTCTCCGGCTTTGCCTTAAAAAACTTTCCTTGCACATTGACTATATTTCTGTATCAATAGCAAATGTAGGAAAAATATGGGTGACTATAATGTCTAGCCAGATAAATAATATTAGGTACAACATTTGCAACATCCAACCACCGACCTTCAATTCCTGCAAAAACTTTCTGAAAATGAGTCTTTGAAGACTCAAAAGACGTTTGAACGTGCTTATATTTTTTATTATTGACTTAATAACTCTGAATCAAAACCTTTTTAAGGTGCAAGCGGTGTTTTTAAAGAGACCAAAGATTAGTGGACAGACAGACCGACACAAATAAGTAATATGTTTCTACCTGCAATCCAATCGTCTTGTCGTGCTTTTCTTGGCGGAGACAAAAATCTCAGAGTCTGCAACGATTAACCATCTTAACTTCCCAAACTACGAGGTGCACTCCAATCTGAGAAAGAACGGGGCAGTTGTGGCTTTTTTCCGCAGTAGTACTTCCTGCTCCAGAGATGTTTCTTTAGAATCAGACCGAAAGGACATTCTGTGGCTTCGCCTGAACTCCAAAACATCACCCAAATTTATTTGCTGCCTTTATCGCTCTCCCTCGGACCATAACTGGGATGACCTACTCGAATACCTCGCCGTCCAGATCGACCTCCTGAACATCAATCATCCCGCTTCAGAGGTAGTTCTTCTCGGTGATTTCAATGCCCATAATGAGCTTTGGTTGGGCTCAAACAAGACCGACGCAGCAGGTCGTGCAGTCGAAGCGTTCGCTCCTACCCAAGGGCTGACTCAGCTGGTGACGAGCCCTACTTTTTTCCCCCGCGTCTCGTCACACGCCAGTAGCTTGCTGGATCTCTTTCTGACCACGCATCCTGTCCCTTACAGCACTGCTGTCCTGTCCCCCCCTGGGTAACTCAGACCATGCTGTTGTGGAGGTTAGGTTTCGGTCAGAACCCGCTGTGGCAGCAGAAACTCGTACTCGACTGGGAGGGGCTCAGAGATTTCTCCTCTAGCTTTCCTTGAAAAGATGTCTGTTTCACTGACGCGGATGCGTCGGCTGTCTGTTCTTCGATAACCGAAGTTATCCACGTCGGAATGGAGGAATACATCCCTCACATAGTGAAAGTGCCTAGACCAGGGTCCAGCGGCTGGTTTAACAGATCGTGTGACGCTGCTCGCCAGCCAAAGATCAAGGCACACAAAACCTTCTTACAAAACCCCACTGTGGAGAACAGACCAGCCGACATTGAGTCCAGAAACAAATATAAAGCAGCGGTTCGCAATGCCAAAAACCAGCACGATATAAAAGTTAGGCACAGGGTAATGTCGCAGCGCAATGGCAGTCGGTCTTTCTGGACGCTGGCCAAGCAGATTGAAAAGAACTTCTCACACAGTAGCCTTCCACCACTTACGTGTCAGGATGGAACTATTGTATTCAACTCAAAGGCCAAGGCGGAAGTGCTAGCCAAGATCTTTGCTGCCAACTCCACCATGGACGTCCCCCCCCCCCAACGCCCAAGTGCCGTCAATTCAAAGGGTTCCCTACACTATGCGGGAGGTAACATTCAGGCATAAGACCGTAAGACGAGTACTCTTGTCTCTCGACATCAACAAAGCTTCTGGTCCGAACTTGATTCCTGCCATTGTACAGAAGAGGTGTGCACCGGAGCTTGCTCCAGTTCTTTCGTGTCTCTTTCAGATATCTTATTAATCCGGCCTATAGCTCTGCTTTCTGTTTTAGGTAAGGTGATGGAGAGGTGCATAAATCGAGAGCTTCTGGACTACCTCGAACGTCACGGCTTGATTAGCGACAGGCAGTATGGTTTCCGGCACCAACGATCCACAGGGGACCTCCTAGCTTACGTCACTCAATTGTGGAGTAAACTTATCCAGTCTTATGGTGAGGCTCATGTCGTTGCTCTTGACATCATGAACGCGTTCGATCAGCTGTGGCACGCTGCCCTCTTAAGCAAACTTCCATCCTATGGCCTCCCAGAAAAGCATTGCAGATGGGTGGCTCACTTTATCTCTGGCCGCAAGATATCCGACGGAATTGACGGGTTCTTCTCTTCATCCCACAACGTCAACGCGGGTGTTCCCCAGGGATCGGTCTTGGCTCCGACACTGTTTCTCTTACATATCAACGACTTCCTTTCCTGCACGATCAACAATCCCCATATTGTACTACCTCTAACCCCACAGCATTGTCGGCAACGATTGGTATGGAGTGGGGAGATACTTGAATGGAATATGGAATGAGATTGGATTCTTTTTGAGCACACATAATGGCCATGCAAGAGTAACGAGGAGGAATATTCATGGCAATTGCTTTACAAGCACATCTGCTTTCCTTTTTGGAAACATTGCAAGATCCACTTTTTCAGCAGGGCAATGCACGACCTCATGTCTCACGTGTTAGCTTAGACTTTTTGGAAGCGTCCGGGTCCGGAATAAATCTGCATCAGTGGCCTCCTCGATCTCCAGACCTTTCCCCCATCGAAGATGTATGGGAGATGATGGGAAGAAGGTTGCAAAATTCACCGCACTATCTACAAACATTAGAGGCCTATGAAACTAAATTCAGATGGCCTGGGATGCAATACACCAAGAAAACATCAATCATCTAATCCAATCAATGATGAGACGATTTAACGAATGTGTAAGACAGAAGAGCTTCAACAGATTAATAAGTTGGGATATATCAGCTATTTTGCGAAATTTCAAGTTGAAATTTGAATCACTTTCTATTTATCAGTAGACGTAAAAGTCTTTTTTTCTATATAACTTAGTATATATTCATACAACCATCGCAAAGCAGGATGGAGCTAAGTAATTCCGAACACAAATTATCAAGTAGTTAAACAATAGTTATTGCTTTATTTGATAATAATAATAATATGACTTTATTAGGCGGGACTCAGTTATTGACTGCTTTCGCGGAACCTTAATTGCTATCAGAATTTAGATTTAATAGATCTCTCCGAATTTAAGTATAGTCTGAAGATTCCACATACATTCCGACTTAATAGGACACCATAGATAAGAAAAAAGGAACCAGAATAATTTATATTTCCCGACAGCAGGCAAAATAGGTATTGAGACTGTTAATAGATTTGAACATTAAACTGAAAGAATGATATGCCTTTTAGACGCTTGATATTTGTTGGTATCGAGGTAGGAAAATATTTCTGAAAGAAGCAGGTGCTGTGTTTAGGAATTTGTAGCAGAAATGGACATCTTCTCCACCGGTCCTCTATACTTGCGGCAAATACTAGCCTATTTCATAAGTACTCAGGAATGCCTGAAATAACTATTATGTGAACAAATCGTAATGTATTTTTTTCTTCTGACATCACATTTGTTCCTAGAATATTTCCGGTGAACATGATGACGCCAGGATTACGTCATTATTCGGTCACTTTTGGCCAGAAACGGCACACTTGGGATAAATGGTGGAATAATTGAAAATGTTGAATCAATTGAATATTTAGGTATATACCTATATTGATAGTAAACTAAAGTTTAAGGATCACTATGAATAAATACATTATTTCAAAAATTGAAAAAAAACAAATTACTTTTATGGGACTTCTCATAGTCTTGGTACATATTCCAAAAAAATTGTTTATAATACAATTATTCTACGGCATTTACTATATTGTTCAACTATCATGTTCACTGTCAATAATTGGCATTTAATTTAATATTATTATAATTTAAAATTATTAAGCTGCATCCTCAAAATTACAGGCCTGCAAAATAAAGCTATGAGAATAATATTGAATAAAAATAAGTACAATTAAATAAACTCTATCTTAAAACAATTGCAGTGATTGAATATAAAAAATTTTACTTCAGATTTGGTTTTCATTTTTATATTTAAAATAAACAAATCATCTTTTGCCACAATAGGAAGTATAGATTTTCATTTACAAAATTGCAATCGTACTATCACTAGCAAATCAACATTTCAGAAAGAATTACTTGAATTTAATAAAATAAATAATGGATATAAAGTCTATTTGTAAAGATGTTTAATAGAAAATTCAAGGAATATTCCTTTTCTGTTCTATTATTAGAGATGCAAATTTTGTTTTTCCTAAATATTTGTATGTCATGTAATTATTTAGTTTTCAAAATAATGTAATTGTAGGAACCATGCTAAATAAATCTTAAGCAAACAAGCGAAAGGGCTAACAACTGGCTAACAGTTTTGCGTAAAAAATGGCAAATGCATCCCAATGAACAGCTTCTTCTCATATTTTTGCCTTTGCCATATGATTTATAACGGACATTTATTTTAGCAGATCTTTTTTCCAGATTTGGATAAACAAATTAATTTTGTATAAATTTATCTACTCCGCAAATTGGTAGTTTTCGAGATGTATGGAAGTTTCTCTTGGGATAAAAACCCAATAGTACCATACGTTTCGAAAATTATTAATTTGTGAAATTGTCAACCTCATACAAACTTGGCCTTATCTAGAATGCATACTACAATGCTATAAGAGGTGATTTCCATTTGGAGAAATGGACTTTTGGATTCCCTAACATCTAATTTTCATTATTTTGGCCACCCTGTAACTACTCCTTATACAAATTCGGAGTAAAATCTACTAAAGTAGTTCTCCTATTGTAATAAATATGTTACAAATCGTGTGGCAAAGGCAAAAGTACGAAAAAAAAGATGAAATTCATGTGGCTGCATTTGTTATGTTCACGCAAATTTTGAGATATCTCAAAAATGGTTAAACTTAAATATATAGTATACAATTCACTATTATTCCTTCTATTTTTTAGGTACAATCAGTCATTTATCCAAATGAAACTCCTTATGCCAGTCTTGTTGATCATCGCAGTTGTCGTCTGCCTGATCTCTGTGGTCTTCGCTGACAAGACAAATTTTGTTCTGGATTCTGCCAAGCAGATTGGATATACGGACATTGCAGAGACAAAAAGATTGCTTGAATTATGACTACTTCTTTTCTTTCATTATTGGCTCTTGTAGTATTAAGCATTCAATGTCATTCCATGGTTACATTTTTTTTGTTTTAGTATATTTTCATAATAAAACGCGCTGAACAATATTCTCGTGTTTTTTCTTTATCGAAACTGGGATTACGTAATAATAATAATAATAATAATAATAATAATAATAATAATAATAATTTATTTATTTTTTATTATTATTTATTATCAATTACAAATTGTGAACAAATTGATATGCCACAAAATATCCTTGTATGTGGATATCATGCTAACACAGCGTACATATAACATAGTAGTTATAATAAACTGATAGGACTAAAAAAATCTATATAATACAAACGTAATATGTATGCTAATTTTGGATCGTAGACTAGCAATGAAGAAAAGATATATGTTTTTTATAAATTACATCATGTTTATATCAATCTTCAAGGGCCACTCCAATAAATCTGTTTTTAGTAATGATATTCGGTTTTTTCTAACATATTTTGATAAGTTATGATATAATTTTGGACCTTAGTATATATAAAATGCAGCATTATTTTTGTTGTGTCGCCATATATAAATGGTCGAATGTTTGTTGTTATGAAATTCTAGTATTATACCAACAAAATTCTTACATCTAAAGGTTTTGATTCTATAAATATTTATTTGGAGGGAAGTAAAGGTTTGTTATGAATTGTTTTTGAGAATAAATTTTGTTTTATAAATTTAGATGTTTATTTTTCGTTGATCCCCAGATAATAATTCCATAGTTTATGTGGCATTCAACCAACGTTTGATATAAAAATTTTAATTGATTTCCAGTGAAAATTTGTCTATAATATCTGAATTTATCTAATATAAATCTAAGTTTCTTTGTAATGTATTGGATATGTTCATCCCAATAAAGATGGCAGTGTAAAACAATTCCGAGATATTGATGATTTAGTTTATGTGATGCAACAATGGATTAGGTGATTGTCAGATGTTTGTTGTTACCGCACAAACAAACGAAAGTAAAAGCCTGTTTGCTATGTGGTGTTGCTAGTCTATGGTGTTATTATGCTGCTATTTTTTGGCATCAGAGTTTATTAGTTTTTGATAAAAATGTATTTCATGCTCGTCACTGGAATCAGCTTTATCGGTTTTTCCATTGTCAAAAAATAACATGACTCAAATGATCAGTTTGTTTAAAAACTGCCTCCATTCGAGTATTTCGTAAGTATGTGAATGTGTAGCGGTTTTGTGTTTCTATTTCAAGTGGAGCTTTTTATTGTATTTCTTATACAAAGTGAATAAGTATTGAAATGTTTTTATTTGTAGAAACGTACCACGCGTTAGAAAAAAATGATGATTTCAGGAAATATCGATTTATTTCCCAAAATATTTTGAATTATAAAATGTTCTAGGTGCCGCTTTCTGATATATGGTAATGTAAAACTTGGTATCTCTTACCATTTCCAAGATCACAATGTATATTATTAAAAACATTATATTATGTACTGCTCAAATTATCATAAGCCTTTTTTCTAATTTTGACATAACGAACAACGAACACACTTATAAACTATATTCTTATTGTAAGGCATAAGACCAGAAGTTGGGTGCTCTTGTCAGTTGGGCTAGATTTCCGCTCTTGAACTGGAACATGTGGAGCGGGGGTTCAAATTCTTTCGCGTGTCTGCCTGATATCTTACGAATCGGGCACTTTAACAGAAAACTAGAATTTTGACCATTTCCAGACCGTCCCAAAAAATATCCAAGGCCGACCCTTACAACTACAGACCTATACTGCCGCGTAAACGCGTAAAAATCGAGGTCTTAGAACATTGAGTTCAGAACTCTAGATTTTTTTGAACTAAAGAAATAGTATTAGTACCACATGACAAAAGTGAATGAATATTGCAAAGTTACATGACTTGATATAGAGTCATTTAAATGTGATTTCGGATCATACTCCTTGCCGAGGCCTAAAATAAATGAAATTCCGCCTTTAATTGTTGTAAATCAAAAAGCAATAACATGTGATTTACTGCTTTTATACCTTGCAAAAACAAATTTACTGCAGTAGTGCAGAATGTTATTTTAATATAACTGGTTTATTTTGTACTTCACATAAATAGTACAAAAATAAATATTACCATTATGTAATAATTCAATTTAATAGTTATACAGGGTGGCCAAACACGTGACGTCATAAAAAAAAAATTAGATTCCCCACATCGAGAGGAACCCAAATCACCCCCATATATATGGTCCGATTTTGTTTAGTTTAGGAGTTATGATTTTTTTTTCGGATTTTTCGAGAATTTTTGAGTTCTGTGTTTATTTTTACCATAACTTCGTTAATAATTGTGATAAATGCCTGCTTTTTTCACGATTATGTAGCTAAGACCTAAGGCTTAACTATCATATAATCATTCAAGTCATGTAACTAATACTACTTTTTAATTTTTTTCAAAATCTTCGAACATAACAAAAAAGTAAAAAAGTGCAACAACTTTGAACGTTTATAAAAAATTGAAAAAACATGTTCTTACTATTCGTAAGTATCTTAAAAACTTCCTTACGGTATCAGCTATTTACCGTAAAAATTTCATCAACCTAGCTTTACTACATGCTACCGTAATTGTGGCTCAAATAGAACCGAACCCAAAATTGGATAACCCTCTGCTCAATAGAAATTGTTAGTTTCGGAAAAAAAAATTGCAAAAACCACAAAAACACGTTTGATTTTTACTGAACAGCAGATTATTATTCATTTATGTTATTTACAAGAGGTTTTCAAAATGTCTGCCTCTAACAGAAATGCACAGTGTACGTGTGAAATTTTGTTTTAAATCTCTAAATGCTTGTGTGTTGTTTTTCAACACATGTGTCGCTTCTTGAATTTTGTTCCTCAATGAATTTTCATTTGCACATTCTTGGGCGAATGTTATGTCTTTAAAATATCCCCAAACAAAAAAATCAATGGGGTTGAGGTCAGGGGAGCGTGGAGGCCATCGTATCGGTCCGTTTCGTCCGATCCATCTGTCTGGGAACCTTTCGTTTAAGTAGTTTCGCACGATCGTTGCGTTGTGGCATGGTGCACCATCATTCTGGAACACCATGTTCCGTCTGGCTTCCAGGCTTGAATCTTCCAGCAATAATGGTAGGCTATTTTCAAGGAAGCTTTTGTAGGCTACCGAATCCAACCTTGACGGCAGTTCAAATGGACCGATAAATTCCATATTGAATATTCCTGACCACATGTTCACACTAAAACGGTGTTGAAATGTCGACGGCCTTGACTGGTGGGGGTTTTCAACAGCCCAAGTATGTAAATTATGGATATTGAATATCCCTGTTCTTTCAAAACGTGACTCGTCAGTCCATAAAATTTTATCAAAAAAATCGGGATCCTCTCGTTGTCTTCGCAGCATTGTCTCGCAACCAACAGAGGACACGTCATCACCACCGACCAGTCACGTCATCTACGGCATAGCCGTTCTGGTATAAATAACCCCGAAAGGCTAAGTCACCTGCAGACGAAATAAGAGGCCATATCAGCCGAAACCTCGTGCTCTAAAAAATTGGATATTCCGGGACTCTGCTTTGCATACTGATTTGGACTTTGTTTGCTAAGAAGTTTGTGATGCATTATACGTTGCGTGAATATGCAGAAATGCATTATTATTATGGCGTTGCTCAAGGCAACGGCGCTTTAGCAGCTCAGCTGTACCGGGAACAACTTATACGCCGAGGCGGACCACAACCTGAGCATTACCCAGACCACCGTGTTTTTATTAACACACATAACACTTTCATGGCAGGCCGCATTCCAGGACGAGGAAGCAATGAAGGATATCCTACAGCTGATCCGGATCGCAGAGAAGTAGTACTTGAAGAAATTAGCCGGAATCCCTCAACGAGTACGAGATCTATGGCACAAAACCTTAGAATACCACGAACATCGATACGAAATATTCTTCATGAAGAAGGTTATCATGCCTATCATGTTCAAAGAGTTCAAGCGTTGATGCCTTCAGATTACCAGTTAAGAGTGGATTTCTGCGAGACAATGCTGCGAAGACAACGAGAGGATCCCGATTTTTTTGATAAAATTTTATGGACTGACGAGTCACGTTTTGAAAGAACAGGGATATTCAATATCCATAATTTACATACTTGGGCTGTTGAAAACCCCCACCAGTCAAGGCCGTCGACATTTCAACACCGTTTTAGTGTGAACATGTGGTCAGGAATATTCAATATGGAATTTATCGGTCCATTTGAACTGCCGTCAAGGTTGGATTCGGTAGCCTACAAAAGCTTCCTTGAAAATAGCCTACCATTATTGCTGGAAGATTCAAGCCTGGAAGCCAGACGGAACATGGTGTTCCAGAATGATGGTGCACCATGCCACAACGCAACGATCGTGCGAAACTACTTAAACGAAAGGTTCCCAGACAGATGGATCGGACGAAACGGACCGATACGATGGCCTCCACGCTCCCCTGACCTCAACCCCATTGATTTTTTTGTTTGGGGATATTTTAAAGACATAACATTCGCCCAAGAATGTGCAAATGAAAATTCATTGAGGAACAAAATTCAAGAAGCGACACATGTGTTGAAAAACAACACACAAGCATTTAGAGATTTAAAACAAAAGTTCACACGTACACTGTGCATTTCTGTTAGAGGCAGACATTTTGAAAACCTCTTGTAAATAACATAAATGAATAATAATCTGCTGTTCAGTAAAAATCAAACGTGTTTTTGTGGTTTTTGCAAATTTTTTTTCCGAAACTAACAATTTCTATTGAGCAGAGGGTTATCCAATTTTGGGTTCGGTTCTATTTGAGCCACAATTACGGTAGCATGTAGTAAAGCTAGGTTGATGAAATTTTTACGGTAAATAGCTGATACCGTAAGGAAGTTTTTAAGATACTTACGAATAGTAAGAACATGTTTTTTCAATTTTTTATAAACGTTCAAAGTTGTTGCACTTTTTTACTTTTTTGTTATGTTCGAAGATTTTGAAAAAAATTAAAAAGTAGTATTAGTTACATGACTTGAATGATTATGGCTGCTGCCCCATTAGTGCGTTGCGTTGCGCTGCGTCGTCGCAGCGTCAACGCTTGCGTCGTTTTCCATGTATTTTAGATGGTATGCCACATTAGAGCGCTGCGTCGTCGCTCGCGACGTTTCAACGGATTGCGCTGGGATGTCGGAGCTTCAGTGCGACGACGGACAGTTGTGACGGACAGTGTTGCACTGCCAGAGGAGTAAAGGAGACATACGAACACGATATTTTCGTATCTCAGCATGAGTGTGGAGGAGATTGATATAGATTTTCTCATCTCCTTGGTGCAAGAAAGGCCGATCATATGGGATAAAGGCCATGAACATTACAATGATAAATTTCGGAAAGCAAATGAATGGGTTTCAGTGTGTAAACATTTATATGCAGATTACGAAGAATTTGATGATACAAAAAAGAACAAAATTGGTGAGCTAAGTATATGTTATAGTTATAAGTTAATACGTATTAAATATTGATTTATATCTTCTTCAACTGCCATGGTAAAGTCCCCACGGAACTCATAAAATAATTAGCAAACTGATCTCTGATAAAATTTTCAGCTAAAGATTCTGCATCGATATGGGGTTGCAATTGTGGGAAGTTATTTATTGTCATCTTTTCTTGTTGCCGTAAACCATCGTGTTCTGTGACAAAATTGTGTAAAACGCAGCATGCTTTCACAATATCAGTAGTTAAATCATATGCTGTGTCAAGTGGTCTATGTAAAATACGCCATTTATTTACCATGATCCCAAAAGCACATTCTACATATCTACGAGCTCTGCTAAGGCGATAATTATAAACTCTTTGTTTCACATTGAGTTTTTGGCCGCCGTATGGACGCATAACATGATTACTCAAACTAAAAGCTTCATCACCGACGAGTACATATGGGATTGGTGGCTCGTTACCATGATCATTTACAAGTGGTTGAGGATCAGGCAATGGTAGTTCATTTCTCGTTAAAATCTGATATAGTTTCGAATTTCTAAAAATAGTCGAATCACTTTCCTTTCCATATGCACCCACGTCGACAAAAACAAATTTATAGTTGGAATCTACAACCGCCAGTAAAACAATTGAAAAAAAATGTTTATAATTATAAAACAGGGACCCACTCTTGACAGGTTTCATTAAACGTATATGCTTCCCATCAATTGCCCCAAAGCAATGAGGAAAGTTAGCTTTACGGTCAAAATCTGATGCAATATTTTGTAGTTTCTCTATGGTGATGTCTTCTATGTACTGTGGCCTGAGATATTTCCATATAGCTTGACAAACTGACGATATAGCTCTAGAGATTGTTGACCTTCCACGTTTAAATTTGAAACGCAAATCCTTCATCGAATTTCCGGTGCCCAAGTACCTGAAATAGAAACAAAAAAATTATCTTGCTTAGACATTATTTTCTTTCCTTGCAGGCAACGAGGTGGTAAAAAAATGGAGAAGTGTAAAAGACAACTTCACTCGATATGTAAAAAAATTAAAAGAAAATAATTCATCTGGATCAGCGGCGAAAAAAATAAAAAAATATCATTATTATAATCAGTTGCTTTTTTTAATGAAAGTTGCCCAAAATATAACTGATAGTAGCCTTGATAAAGAAACAGAACAAAACGAAAACACACCATCTCCACTTCCGACACAAGGAGTGCCATCGCTACCAGGCCCTTCTCGCTATGTGCCTGCAAATCGGAAGAGATCAAACCAAGCAATAGATGATTTCGAGGCGCAAGCGTTAGAGGCGTTGCAAGAAAAAGAAAACCGCCATTTGTCGTTTTTCAAAGGAATTCTGCCTTCTTTAGCTGATTTTACTGAATTACAAACATTAACATTTCAAAGTGGAGTGATCAAAATGATTACCGAAATGAGGTTTGGGGAACAGAGTCAATCAACAACATGGCAGTCACGCAGATTGCCAACTGGGCAGCAGTATATATCAACACCATCGGAGTCAAGTGGATATCAAACTGGATTACAGGTCCAACCGCTACCACCATCGCCATCGGGGTATCAAACAGCTGAATACTCATCGAACACTACATTTAGTAACTTTACCGATGATAGCCAGGAAGAAGAATATAACTTCGCTTTACTCTCTAATAATAATACTTAAGCTTATTTGTGCGAAAAATGCCTCTTAGTTAAAAGTAAAGCATAACTGATTTTCTGATTAATATGTTTTTTAATACTTACCTCAATGTAACACCAATCATTTCAATTGGTTCTATAGGTCTTCTGAACTTGGTATATTGCTTTTTCAAATGTGGTTCCAAGATTTTCACCAAATATTGAAAGCTAGCCACACTCATTCTAAAAAAATCGAAAAATTCTTCCTCTTCCGACAATAATTCATTATACTCCCGCATAAAAAACTGACCGTCACTATTTCTTAATGCAATCAAAGGAGATACCCACATTCTTTTATTATTTCTACGTTTCTTCCGGCGGTGGCGTAATAAAAGCAACAATAGAACACGTTTATTCCGATCCATTTTGGAAACTAACTGAGGTGCGTGGCATCGGTGGAGGTGCCAGCGTCGTCCTATTGCGCTGCGATGTCGTGCGTTGTCACAATGCAGATGGGGCATACAATGCGATGATCCGCTGCGACGACGCAACGCAACGCACTAATGGGGCAGCAGCCTATATGATAGTTAAGCCTTAGGTCTTAGCTACATAATCGTGAAAAAAGCAGGCATTTATCACAATTATTAACGAAGTTATGGTAAAAATAAACACAGAACTCAAAAATTCTCGAAAAATCCGAAAAAAAATCATAACTCCTAAACTAAACAAAATCGGACCATATATATGGGGGTGATTTGGGTTCCTCTCGATGTGGGGAATCTAATTTTTTTTTATGACGTCACGTGTTTGGCCACCCTGTATAATTACATTTAATAATTACATTAAAAGAAACAGTTATTTAAGATTAATACTTCCAATATACAGTACACCTTGACTAACCAGCAAGAAGCTTCCAAGCGCTCCTCCGGTTTCGATGGCTGGCCGAGTTCTACCAAAGAAGCTAGTCGAAGACCAGATCACCAAGGATTTGATCTGGCACGAACACGTCTCGTCATGGGCGGCAGCTTCTAGCCAAGAAGTACCTTCCTTCGCATTACCTCCTCATTTTTCCTCGACTATCACTCACATGTTTGGGGTGCTGCCACCCCGAGTACATTATCTAGATGATGGTTGTCCAACTGATCGATGACTATTCTCTAACGCACACCGACGAACCCGACTTCGACCTCCCATCCAAAGCTGGTCAAGGGATGTCGAGATTGTGGAACAATGTACCGCTTCGGTATAAAAAACAGCACAGTAAGACTGAGATTACAACTCAAGGAACGTGGTCAAGGACAGAGAGGTTCGACATTCTATCCCATTATTTTTTGGGCAAAACCGACATTTCTGATCCAAACAAACCTTCGGCTTCGGCTTGTACTGATTGTTCCCTTAAGCACGAAAAGTGTTTTCATACTTAATATAATTTTCCCGTGCTAAAAAAATTACTTATCTCCGCCATATTATGGAGAAGGTGATTAGGAGTGCCAGGTATGACAAATGACATAAATATATAAAAAGCTCTATTTTTATTGATACAAACAATACTATGAGTCAGTGTTACTACCTTCTGATACTTCAGCTACAGTCCCACCTTCAGTTTGCATTTGCCCCTTCAGCAAAGAGATCTAAGGATGAATAAGAAAATCAGAATTGAAAAACAAACCGATTGCAGACATGTATACAGTGTTACTGCTGATTCGCCATATTATACGTTTCAGGGCATGATAGCGCACCCAAAATACAATAAATTTCACCTAATACTTGTATCTTCGGAAAGCACTAGTGCTCGAGATTTTTAGTAAATCACCCCAAATTGGGCATTTGAACCTAAAGAATAAAAAAACTATACAAGAAACGTGTGCAAATTTAATTGATGATTGTAGTTTTGTACCTAAAATGGGCTAATAAAATCATAAAATATGCGAAGGTTTTACAAACAATAAACTAAGAGCTATTTCAAGAAATAAAATTGATTCCATTTTCAGTTTTCCTTAGAACAAAACTATGTTGAGCTCTAAAAATTTCGTAATAGTATTGAGCATTCCAAAACGTTATGAAACATCATTATGAGAGTGTCTAATTCTTAATAAACAGGCCAATGGATCGATTTAGATTCAAATAATAACTGGGCGTATCCACTTTTCACAAATTTTTATTCGGTGGCATTACCTTTTATGCTTTTGTAGAGCCACTGTACACCGGCAATATTGATATCGCGTATCCAGTCACCGAATTTTCTACGTATCTGCGACTATTAAAAAATTGCTCATCGGAAATAAAAGTGAGCAGTTCTCAAACTTCATAGAATTTGTCATGCTAGAGAAATTTATTTAGCGATATAAATAAAGTAAGCCAATTAAAAGCCCGTTTTAACGCGAAGGTGCAAAAATAAGGAGCTAGAAAGTGAACGCTTATTTTTATTAGCAATAGATGGGTTTAACTCGCTCACACACAGTCAAAATCAAAATTATCTTCTAAGGAATCTTGGAAAGCTATGGACTATCTCAATATCCGAACATTAATGGTCTGCAGTACGACCCAGATGAAGTTAACAACTTTTTCATTGATGGCGCTCCTTCCAGTGGTATATCATCTGGCGTTGATGCAAGCCAATATGTATCTGATCGTAATCTTAACAATAAATTTTCATTCCGTTTTGTGAGTACTGAAGAATTGAGCGCGTATTAATGTTAATAAAATCTAATTCATCTGGTACTGACAAGATTGACCTCAAGATGATTCAACTAGTGTTTTCTCATCTAAGTAACATAATTACTTATATTGTCAATTTTTGCCTTGCTAACAACACTTTCTCGTCCAGCTGGAAATACTCTAAGGTTATCCCTATCCCAAAGATTGGTAATCCAAAAGAATTTTCTCATTTTCGCCCTATAAGTATTCTACCTACCTTTTCGAAAATATTGGAAAAAATCGTAGCTTTCCAACTAAAAACATTTATTATATCTAATAATATACTTCCTACCACACAATCGGGCTTTCGCTCTATCCATAGTACTACAACCGCACTTGCAATCGTTACAGATGACTTATTCAGAGCATGTGACAATAAGATGTATGGTTGCTTGATTTTGCTCGATTTCAGTAAAGCTTTTGATAGAATAGATCATTCAATCTTATGTTCGAAACTTAAATCTCTGGGACTAAGCAATATGGCTGTAGATTTCTTTAATAGCTACCTGTAAGGCAGATCCCAGTGCACAGAATTTTATGGGCACATACCTCAGTTTCGTAGTATTACCAGAGCTATGCCACAGGGTAGTATTTTAGGACCTTTGTTGTTTTCACTGTATACGTCAGATTTGAAAAGTCAGTTGGAATTTTGCAGTACACATCAATATGCAGACGATACACAATTGTATTACTCTTTTAAACTCGATGATGCTTATGTTACCTGCATGCGTATCAATTCTGATCTTGAATATTTATCTAGATATGCAAGAGCCCACAGCTTCGTATTAAATGAAAATAAAACTGAATTGCTTATTTTTGGATCATAATTGGATTATAATTTTATTTTGAGGTCACTAATTATGATTGATTGTTCGATCATCTACTACTGTAATATAAACTCTTTGTAATTAAAAAATATTTTATACCTTTTAGTTCGGTTTGCTATAAAACCGTGTTTTTGTAGTTACTTTAAGTATAGCTGTTATTCTATTGTGTGTAGTATTCTTGCACATTTTATGATTGCATTAACATAAGCATTAACTAGGAAAATCACTTGAATCCTCACGCATTTCTCGCATAGTTGTTTTATTACCCAGACTCAATTGCCCAATTTCAAGCGATTGTTAAGAAATCACAGAAATCTAAAAATCTAGAACACCATTTATATTGGACCATACATGTACAGGGTCCGTCAGAAAGAACGCATGTTTTTCGAATGGATACTACATGGAGTGGGCTGGTCCCGTGTCGGTGGGGAAGGGCGTGTTGGGTAGTGGGAGAAGTGCCGTTCCAGTTGGCAAGATGGTTTGGAACGGTTTGCGTTCACTGTACGTCGACACTTTCAAAACAGCGAGTTCCACGTCGTGGCGCAATACCCGACCGCAACACCATTTTGAGATGGATGGAAGCAGTCAACACAACAGGTAATATGATGAAGAAAAAAACGCCATTGCGAAACCGTACTGTTAGAACCCGAAAACGTAGATAGAGTGAGAGTTGACACGCTGCAAAGCCCGAATCGTTCCGACCGTTTGCGTGCCAGTTCCATAGGGGTCCACGCGTTCTCTGTACGTTGCATCTTGAAGAAGGATTTAGTATTCCATCTTTACAAAATCCAAGTTTGTCAACAACTACTGCCAGGGGATTATGCACAAAGTGTTAATTTTGTACAGCTCATGATTGAACAATTGGAGAATAATGACATGACGTTGTTGATGAGTGATGAAGCACATTTTCATTTACATGGATACGTCAATAAACAAAATTGTCGATATTGGTCTCCTGTGAATCCGCAACATTTGCCGGAGCACTCCCTGCATACCCCGAAAGATACAGTTTGGTGTGCAGTAGGCCCAACGATGATTATTGGCCCTTATTTTTTTGAGGATGCTGGAGAAACAACTACTGTGAATTCAGAGCGTTACATCCATATGCTGAACAACATTTTTTTTCCGGAACTTCGACGTCCACGTGTCCGCCTCAGAATAGTGTGGTTCCAACGAGACGGGGCAACATCTCATACAGCTCGCACTTCGATGGAACTTCTTCGGCAAAAATTCCCAGGACGTCTCATTTCACGTCATGGGCATATTCCATGACCCACTTGCTTCCAGCAAGCCTCGGACCCTCGTCGATTTGAAGGAGGAAATAAGAAGAGAAGTAACCCAAATTCCTACACGGATGCTGGCTGACGCAATGGGCTCATTTCGGGAGAGGCTTGATTCCTGCATTTCGGTTTAAGGGCGCCATATGGCCGACATAGTTTTTAGAATGTAAATTTTGTTTTACTCAAAAAAATGGCATGTATTTCTGGGTATTTTGATATAATAAAGTATTTTTTCCCATACT